CAAGCTGAGTCTCTAATATAAAATGCTTCAGTCCACCGAAATTCCAGCAACGTGTATTCTCGAACGACTGCCGAATTCAAGACCCTGAAGGTTGATCATCTGCAGACAGCTGCTCGCAAGAAAATTAAACACTCTATAAACCTTGGGCAGGAAATCAATAGGAGTTGTTTATTCGGCTAGGGAGGGCCTCAAACTCAATAGTTGTGGGGACTTCGTCAAGCGACACGTCAGGGGGTTGGCGCGCGCTCATATTTCTTGGTTTCACGGAGTGATTCCCGACACGGAGCTCGCCCGACACGCGGCTGGCAACTATCATGATACCGCAACATATATAGTGTGCCGACTAAGCTTTGTTACTCAGCATGCGATTTGATGCGAAAAACGACGAACAGCGGTGGTCACCGGCTGCGAATTCAAGCCTCGTCAGGACGCAATTGAAGAACCGCGTTCGGTCGCAGCAGTGGAACGCTCAGAGCCAACTAATTGTCCATGTCAAGTCCATATTCATAGTTGCTTGTAATTAGCGTCTAGATTTCAGTGGCAATAGTACACATCACGGGTTGAGACCGTGGACAAACTCGGGCCACAGAACTCCTTGAAGTACTCACTCAATTGCGACATACGTGAAGCCCGTAAGTCAGTCAATATTAACCAGCTGCTTGAGGCGTAAGATGCGACTGTAAGCTTACGCTCGTTGCTAAAGATCTTGTTCTCGCTGTCGTTAGACGGCTGAAGGTTGCTTGGCAGTGATTGTTGCACACCACTCATGAGACTGATATAATCCACAAGGCAGACCCTTGCCACACTTTAGATTTCGGCTCCGGCCTCGCTACATGGTTTCTGAAGATCAAACAACAGACAATGGAGCTATCCAACGGGATCTGCCCGATTACTATTTTGAGATGTTTTTGGCTCATGTGTTTACTGATAACATAAAGCTTCGCACTTCTCCTTAATTTGTCAACACCTTTACCAGCCTCCGCCCATCATCAACCTGTGCAAGGCGCTTCCGTCGCTCATAATATTGTTTAGAACTCGTAACTGAACCAAAGCCCAACATGAGCATCATTATTGCCCCTTTCCTGGCGGCGTTGGCGGCGGCAATTTCGACCGTCGTCTACGATGGGCTCCCTCTGTGGAACGGCGTGCGCGGACTGCCGGGCATGTGCGATTTATGTTTCTCAAGCCACGGCGGGGGGTGCCGACTCCAATGGAGTGAGTTAATTACATGCTGCGACTTGTAGAAAGACCAAAGGCTGATTCTGAACGTCATCTAGCAATGCGTTGCGGTAGGTACTGACACTACGTCTAGCTTTCTCTACGCTGATTCTTGTAGGCCATGAGAGCTTGTCCGGCTCTGTGCAGCAAAAACGTAAGGCGCTGTCTATTCAGTGCCTAGAATGAGTACTGACGATTCAACATAGTGCTGAGAGGCGTCTATGCCTTCTCTGGAGGATTGGGGCAGCTTGCATTGACATTTACTTGCGCTGGCAAATCTTGGTCCTAATAGTGTCAAATCTTGACGCCCAAATATCCGTCCACACCACAGATAGAAATTCTATCATTCGATTTCGTCGTACAAACCTATTCAAGCTTCCTCTTCCCACGTCACAGTGCCCAGAACTACGACAGCCTTGTCGTGCGCGTCCTAATCCAAGCGTCATGTCGAGTGCAGGCCAATGCTCTAAATAAAACGAATTCAAACATCCATTGATGCCGAGACGCCGCCTCATAAGAGGTATCCTTCTTCCAAGCTTCAATGTCGGTTGGAGTCTGCTCTGAGAGACCCCTGACCTCGGAGGCTCCTGGAGGCGTCCTCCAGCGTCGCTATTGTGTGGAGGAGTTTTGCCACTTAACACAAGTGCCCGAGACTTTTGGAATACCGTGCGGCTTCTGCTCAAAAGTCTTCGGCAGATCCCGATCTTCCATGCCTTTGAAGTAGCTGCAAAGTAGGTCGGACCGTTCTGGCTCAGCTGGGCCTGACTCGCATAAACGACAGCGGGACCGTTGTCTTGCCACCTTTGTTCTTGATTACGTTCGAGGCTGGAGCAGTATTTGAAGCTGGAGCAACTACTTTTAAATGGTTGTTCCGTGCTGTCTGCTTTGCAAACTCTGGCTTCAGGTGAGGCCAGTTACTCTTAGTCGCGAAGGAATGCTCGATCGGGCCACATAGTGTGGGCACCCGGGTAACTTGGTTCCTTGGCGCTAGAAATCATTCCTCGAATCTTTTCATTCACAAATGAAGCATCGGTCAAGTCTTTCCTTTCTTACCGGTCAGCAACTGCTGCGGTGTCTTGCGGCGTCTCTCCATGAACTCTGATTGACGCCACCCAACTTGTGTAGTTGACGGAGTATTTCGTGCAAGCTATGCGGGACGTCCCGTCTCACTTTTCACCTTGTACTCTCTCTTCGCTGGAAACTGTGTGGACGAATACATGCTGCATACTCTGAACGGATCATCACAAGCCTTTCGCCGAGTCTCTCCTGCAAACGTACGACCACGAATACTGATCTCGCAGACCAGATCAGCGTTTGCTCGCCGGATAAAGCAGAGCTCCGCCATTCAGCTGGGCTCCATACAAGATGAAACCTTCAAGACCCATACGGAGAATCAACAGCAGATTACGCAACAATGGACTCGCTAGAATTTATTGTGAATGTCCAGCTTCCAATTGGACATGCTGAGTGGGTGTATCGGGGCTTTACAGTTAGTAACGTTAGTTTACGGTGGGCGTGTAGAATGCGTCAACAGATATCTTAGTTGAGACTGATTCCGATACCATGAACAATCCACCCTCTGTAGTATTCCCGCTGGAAAGTAAGTACAATGAAGCACTTTTGAGAACTACTGCTAGTTTCAAGCTTCGCTTATGCTTATAGATCCCTTGAAATTTGTTGAACGGTCTCAAATGCAACATGGATCCTGGTATGTTGCCGTCTCCGAGGGCATAAGAAGCGGCTGTGATCTTAGAATTGGTTTTGTTCTTATCATATCTGAGTCTGCTTCTGGATTCTCCCGTAAGTTCCTCTTTCTTGTTTTTGTCGTTAATGTAGCCTTTCTTATTGAGTCGATCTAGTTTCCGTCTTGTCGCCTTCAGTCTCCTTGTTATTCCCAGCAAGGCAAACCCAACAGCTGAATTAAACGCTGAGATAGATCGAAGAAGCTACATAATCTCATATGGAAATCTAGGGGGCGAGAAGCTGAATTTCTATAGGAAAACCTCGCACGGAGAGCAGGCACAAGGCGGAAACCGCTTTGATGACCTCGTAAAGCGTCCCATCTTTAACACGTTAGTCAAACGCAAGGCGTTCCGAGTCAAATCCGCTGTGCAATGCCTGCGGTAACGTAGCCAGCTGCGAACGCTTGGGAATCGAAGGAGGGGGATCCGCATCGCTTTTCCATACTGGTCCAGGAGCAGCACTTGCATTGTCGGTTGCGACGAACGATTCGTTGGCAGCGAGGGCGATCTCCGGGTCAAGATTTGCAGCAGGTAGTGCCGATGGTCACTCTGGCAGTTCTGCCTTCACGACAATCGTTGAGCCGGCTGGAGATGCGGGAGAAAAGCTGACGTTCGTAGGTTTCCAGATAGGGTACAGTCCTGTTGTCAAGTTTGTTGAAAGTTGACGTCCGGCCTCTATGATGCCAGCCGCTCTCCCAACTAAAGACTTCGTAAGCGGCGAATGGAGTTGATGTCCGATGTAGATGCAGGTAGCTGGCGGCTCAGTCGGAAAGTATTCTCGGGCCCTGTCTACTTCAAAAGTCAAGTCTCGGCAATAAGAAATTACTGGAGCTGGTACGTCTCCAGGATAACGTCCAACCACCCCATTCTGTCTGCCGTGATCTCTGTGCGGGGAGAACTGTCTTCAAAAATCGTTGAAGAGGCTCTGGTCGTGTATCGTACATCTCGAAGTCTGGATACATGACTGCTGGACACCCTTTGCTCGAAGACACAGGGACGCACCGGCGTAAAATAATACACACACACACACACACACACACACACACACACACACACACACACCACACACCACACACACACCACACACTGGTATTCAGTTTGGCGGAAGGGACAGCTGCCGCTCGGAGACCGGCTAAGAGCTTTTTGACCCCTCACAAGTTCTAGCTCATTGGTTGGGAAAAGGTGAGCCAGTCCAGGCGGTGAATTCGTTGCGTAGCATTTCGGCTCTCTATTATGAGGCCGTCCACTGGAATGATCCAGCTCAGCTGGCATTCACAGCATGTGCCTGTGATTGTCGTGACAAATGGGTCGCATGAGCAGATTCAGTTTGTTGGCCCGACCCCGATGTCGATTTAATTCTTCCTTTCGAGTATTCGACATCTTGGAATGCAAGAAGTCTACAGCCAGCGCAACAAGGCAAACGTCGCGAGCACTCTAGGACCACCTTTTCGTCTATTGCCTCCTCTTGCCTCGCTGTTGCTCACAGATGCTCATGCACCTTTCCAGGCCGATAAATCTCCAGTCAATTCTCACCAGAGTCGGTGGGTCCCGGTTTAGTTGAAATCCCCCTTTTTCTTTTCTAACTCATACTTGGCTTGTACATCAAGTAGCTACAAGTCGCGTAGCTTGCTTCTTCCACCTACCGTCACAGTGCCGGCACAAGGCACTGTGAGGGACTCAATCTCGGGAAATAACTCCCATACATGTAGTCCCTCCGCCATGAACGCGATTTCCCCTGCTCCCGCGATGCGTCCCCCAACCGTGGTGACATTGCCCATTTCGAGCCTACGAAGCTGTGAACGTCCAATTCCAAGGACAACGCGCGACACAGCTGCCTTCGTCGACAAGTATACGCTGAAACTCATCGCCAGCGTCTTCAGTGGCGGCCGCCCGTGGCAAACTCTCCGCAACAACCCCTCTGACGTCTCAAGTACGTCGTCTCCCAAGTCTAACCGAAGACTTTGCAGGTAGTCTATGTTTTGTATGAGAAACATGATGGACTAGGTATCCCATTATTCCTCATCACGAGCGGTGCCGCCCCTATTCGTAATCTTGAGTATCATGAGATGGACGAGGTCTCTCAGGCTGTCCGACAATATTCGGGCCCATGTGTGGCGAGAACAGCTGACGGCTGGAGATGCGTGCGACTTCTTCGATCGCCATTGCATCAGCTGGCTTGATCTCCAGACGTTCCAGACGGGATAAGTACGGGAATTTGTTGACCTCGCTGTGGGTCCTTGCTACTAGAATCCGTTGTCCCAAAACAACGTCCTTGAGCTCCGCTTCTCGCAGATCCTGTGACTGTGCCAGCGCTTGCAACACGGCTCGCGGTGTTAAGCCTTCGCCTTGCCGGTTTTTTGCGAATATGAGACTGGCAGGTTGCAGCGTTGGGATCCCTCGAGATAGGCCAGTGTCGTCGCCACTGTTGCCATCCCACTCGCTGTCCATGTCGCTGTCGCTCTCGTCTCGAGTTGGCCCGCTATCGACGCTCACGTTGAGGTATGTGAGGTTTCCAGCTGCACTGGGGATGGAGAAGATGTTCCTCACATGAAAGGTCCACCGTTCGATAGTTAGCGACGTTAGGCCAGGGCATTGATTGTGAACTGCTGAACGCAGTGTGTAGCTGTGTTCCGCACTTGTGAGTGGATCTATTTGAAGCGCGGGAAATCAAGCTCTATTAATGCTAGGAAACGTATTGGGGGTGCAGGACTGTTGTGAACGAGTCGCAAGTTGACGATCTCTGTTTCATGTTCTTGTGGACGCCCATTTTCCACGATGAGATATTTGAAGTCAGCCGTCTCCAAGACGATTGATTGCCTTTCCAATAGACCAAAATGACCGGTTCGTCCTCATAAGCGGTGCTACGCTGCTCTCCTCGTGAGCTTCGCGGAGAACCATCTCCATGTTTTGCGGTGGCAGCCGGATCAAGTCGCCAGATAGCTTGTTGGGCGAGGATGAGGTCTGTCTGAGATTTCAGTACGTGCTTCGGCGGCTGTTGGCACGGGATGGACTTAGGTATCGCTTGTAATGGAAAGTGACGCCATCCTGGCTGAACGTGGCGACGATTGTCAAGAAGAGGAGCAAGACTGCGACGCAAACGAAAGGGTGTCGAACTTATTTGCGTTCGTCCTGCCCGGAACCCTTGTCGGGTTTGGGCGTCAGAACGGCGCCTGCTCAACTCAGTGCCCAAAGAGCCCCCTTTTCGATAGAAACAACGGTCCATTGCGTACTGCACTATATATACTCGCAAGTCAGAAGATATCTCTGATATTAGAGAGATCGGAGCTATCAGATAAAATGTATCTTGATTAAGCGCCTGCACTGCATCATCGTCAGAGTGAGTTCGCGCCCCCGTTTGTCGGTGCATCGGTCCGCCGGAAACTGTCTATGAGCACTCTTGTTTTGACTGTCACTAGCAATCCCGCATACCTCGCGCTGTTTGCGTAACGGCGACTTGGAAAACACCCTACCCAAGTACCAGCATACGAGCCTACTGTCGCAAGTAGACGACAGATCAAAGGCCATGTTGCTGTCGGTGTGACTCGTGTTCGGACCAGAAGCAAAGCCGGGTGCACGTCCGTTTTATTATGTTTGCGCCTCATGCGATTTTGGAAGCCTCTTTTGCAAGTGCTTGTGGAAGACGACAGGAGACTTTGGCGTTGGTGGGAGAGCTTTGGTGTAGGAGCTGTTTGAGAGCGTCCAAAAGCTACCACGACTGTGGTAGTTTCTGAGCTGTGGGATCTTTTGGCACTCGGCATTCTTCAACCCCAACCAGCCCGCCATCACGAGCCCAGTCTTTTGTTAGATCTCTCCTGCCTATTGCCTTTCCACGGCAAGCCTCCGCCGTCACTTCTACAGGCAGGCTATTACAGGCCATACTAACAAGAAAACAGGAGCTTTGCAAACCATCCTTTGAAAACCTCGAAAGATGCCTCATCTGGGTCGTAAGTGCAACTTAACATTGCGGCGCTGGCGCCGGCTCCGACGCCACACCTCTCCCACCTGAGCAGGACTTCTGCCTTGATGGGGGCACGCAGGTCGTGTTTGCGGCTGAGCACATGTTGTATCGTCTCCAACTATCAGACCGTCACGGAAACCGGCTGCATTAATGTAAAATAAGGTGGATGAATATCTGTGATACCGTCTTAATTGTAGCTATATCTATGGTCTAACCACTATCCACCTGATACACGGTGTTCTGAACTTCTGACATCTACCGGTCATCGACTCATCGTCCAAAAAACCAACTCTAGTTCAGTCTGTCTCACAGAGCTTTTCCAGTTCATTAAAGGTTTGGCTCGCGCTTTTCACCTGTTGGGCAACCCTCTCCGCGCAGCATTCAATCTTGGCCCTTTTCTTCTGCGAGGTGCTGGCGTCCGTCGACCTCTTGCGCTTCTTCCCACCTGCCTCAATGAGCTCCTTCTCCCACTTCCCAGCCTCGAGATGACCCTGAGAATACTTGGTCCATTCTTCCTCCGAGCCATCGGTTGCGCGCAAAAGCTCGTCTGCCCGCGCAATCAGCCGCGCGTTGAGGTGGACCATCTTGTCCTTCAACTCGGCGCAGTCATTGAGGGCTGCCTTCTCATCATTCTTGTGGGTCGAGATGCGGTCCCTGGCTCGAGTAATGCGTGCAAGGCCCGTTCGGAACAAGTCTTCAAGTGCTCCAAGTGCATCATCGGCGTTCTCTGACTCTGCATGTGGTGCCTCAAGTGCTTTGCCGTCGTGCGGTAGCTTGCTAACGGCCGGGCGAGGTTGACCAAACGCCTCTTTCGGATTGCCGGAATCGTCGCTTCCATTCATGACGGGCCCGTCAGACTCCTCCATACCAATTGCGCTGTCGTCTGGAGATGCTCCCTCCGCTCCCGGGCTCACCCTGCTGGCTGCTGCCCCCATTCCAGCCCCCAACGCTCTGTTTGTGTTGATGCGCATAGCCGAGTCCACAGAGGTTTCGTCGTTGAACAGCAAAGACGAAGATTCGTTCGCGTCGTAGGGCTGGTCCGCGTTCCAATTTTGCAGGGGACTCTCGGCGTCTTCGTCTCTAACCAATGGTCGTGCCGATCCAGTATTGTGAACCGCTCGGTGGGCTTCAATATCCTTGCTGATACTATCCCACGACGTCTCGAAAATATCGGAGCCCTGGTCTTGAATATCACCACCGCGCTGAACGGCAGCCTCTTGGATAGAGTTGTCGGAAATGCGGTTGCTGTCTTCGACCACTCGATTCTCTTGCGACTCGACTTCTCCGAGCTTGTTTCTCGGGTCGTTCTTTTTGACTTCGGGCTTGATGCGTGGAACTTCGCAACGTCAGTGAACGATTATGTCCGGTCAGGTTACGGGGGATACTTACGTCGCTTCTTGGCAGCAATCACCTCGGATGGTGTGAATGCGGTGCGCAAGTAATGTAGAGGGCGGCTGTTCTTTTCTGCGCGGCCAGCAATGATTTCTGAGAAAAGAGTTGCAGCCGTGACTTCAAGGGAGTCAAGGCCGAGCCAAGCGTCTCTAGATGCGACAGCAGCTTCCCCGAACCACATATAGAGCTCTCCCGAGTGTTCCAAGCCGAGAGCCTCGAGGGCCTGCACCCGGCGGGTTTGCTCCGACTTTTTCAGGGAATCCCAGTGCGCCTCGAACCTTGCCTCGAGTACGCGACGGAGGATGGGGCCTTCGATCTCGCGGGATGCCCACTCGGCGAAGGGGATTCGAGGGCGGGTCTTCGGAAGCTTGGAGTCGTGCTTCTGGTAGCCGGACGCGAGGTCGTCGTACGCCTTGGCGAGCTGCTCCTGACTTGTCTTGAATGCCTCGGCGAAGGCTTTCACTAACTCGCTGAGGTTTGATGCGTGCTTTGGCCCACCTTTCGGAGGCATTGATCTGGAATGATGAGCACCTTGCCAACCGTCGTGCGCGGGGCAGTGTTGGTGATGATTGTAGCAGTGCGGGGTGCGAGCGAGGTTGAGGCGGTTGCTATGAAGAGGCGGGCTCCAAAAAAGTATTGTCTGGGGAAGAACTCTCAAGGCGATGGCGCCATGGTGGATGGACTTCAAGCTTTCTCTTTTGTTCCAAGCTTGGTGATAGCGACTGCTATTTACTGAGATTATTGGATGGCGAACGGCGGAAGGTAAACAGCGGAAGGTTTGGCCAGGATTGCGATAGGATAAGGCAGGTGCGACAAGTATAACGAGTGCTTACATCCCGTTCCTGTACACACAAACCTAAAGCAGCAGCGACGTCGGTGCCGCACCTTGCATAGGTAAGGCATCGACAACGTGAAGGTTTGGCACTTACTGAGGTGGTATCGCGACGCACCAAGCAGATCTGCAGGTGCCAGATGGTCCGTGCAGTGGCCACTCCTCCCACTCGGCCTTCGCGGTACCTTTCTGTCAACTTCGTTGCGGGAGAAATTGTCGGAATCGCGACGAGATCCGCGCCTTCGGACCTGTTGAACCTGGGTTTCTCGGCCTTTTCTCGATCAAAAGAAATCCATTTGAATCCCGAGATGTGCGGATTCTATTATTGAGCTGTTTTGAAGTGTTGCTTGAACTTTTTCCTACTAGGAGACTCCTGTGTAGCATTGCAAGCATCAACGACCGTTGGAAGTATCCCCTTGTCCGTTCTTCTGTTAGACAAGAGTCCTCGGGCAGGACCACCTCCGCATACCTCGCCCCGCACGGCGTGGGATTCCATTGGCGGATCCGATCTCGCTTATCGCATTCCGCTTATCTGATCTCGTTCTATTTCCGAACAAGATCTCCCTGCGCAGGCTGGGATCCCTGCGCACTGATGACGGGTCACGCTGCAACCTTGCGGCTGGTGTGGCTCGTGCTTGAGAACTGCAAAAATCCACAGAGCGGCGCAACCAAAAACACCTTCCTTCCAAGCACAGCATTTGCGTCAAATGACAACCCATATCCCACCCCATCTTTCCAATCATCCTTGCCAACGACGCTTTGCGCGTGCTTCTCAAGTATTTACGAGCACACTCGTCAAGGTCGCAAAGACCAAAGGGTGATGCGAGGTGTTGTATGGGATGACCAAGCTTTGGCATGCCCACCTAGCTCGGGACACCCCACTTCCAGATCCTTCTTCAACACGTCTCAGATCCTCTAGCACATCTTGGGGGTGCATTCGGCATACTCATCGTGACAATAATGTCCTGCTAATTTCATCTCCTGCCGAGATTCACTGGCAGTTTCAGCAACCACCAAATTTACCAGTGGGCAGACCAACTGCCAATCCTCCCCCACTCACATCGGCAGCTGCTGAGCTTTACCAATGCACGGACCAGCTGTCCATTTCACCCTGTCGGATCGCGGAAAACCTCCTTCGAACAGCTTCAATGGCCGCAGAAAATTTCGTGATGTTCGGGCTGGACCGTGTCCACCTCAACCCGTGATCCCATCAAAGCAGCAGTCCTATTGGGAGACGCTCTCGCGTCGTAGGTAGTGTGCCACTAACCGCAGTAAGCCACCGCCCCACCCGTGGTCGCGTTATGTCAGCAACATACCCAGAGTACGTATCTGCGAGTCTTATGTAATCAGCTGCAAAATGTACCACATTTGTGGTACAAAAAAGCTGCCGCTGCAATATGATTCGCTCGCGGGCCAGATCTTACTCCCCTTTGCATTGACCGATGCCGCTAGAGTTTAGTTTTTTTTTTTTTTTTTTTCAACAAACTGGGAGTCCAGGGCTTTCCTCTCATAAAATCAGTTTTGTGGATCTGCTCCGGATTTTGCTCGACAAAAGGATGCGGCATCGTGTGCAGACGAATTCTCAGCCGCCTGCCACGGTGGTGGATCGAATTCAGATGTATGTGCTGGATCATATGGGAGAAAACGGATTCGTTTTGCATAATTCGAGGTGTTCTGCAAGAGTAGCAGTTATGACACCAGGGTGAGAGAGTCAGTCAGGTGCAAATAGACGGCGATTCTGTTATTAGCGGCGCGGTCGTGGGCGGAGAGGCGACTTGCTGCTACGACAGAAGTCAGTCGAGGTCGGCAGGCAAGGTAGCGAAGAATTCCGACACGACCCGCTTAGACGAACGCGGTTGGTCTGCTAAAGGAAGGACGGTGTGGTGATAAGTCGAGATGCAGGGCGCAGTGGAGGAGGGAAGCGACGCAAGGTAGGAGAATGATGGATGGGAGGCCGTAAGTGACAGAAGATACTGGAGTCGAGGAAGATAGTGTCTGGTGGAAGAGATGTGATTAACAAATAACAGAAAGTACGTATGGTCCAAGACTCCGCGACCACCTTCACAGCCCGCTGTCTGCCGCACGTTGGAAATTGACCTCTTTTTGTGTGAAAATCTCCCTAGAGGAATTAAATGGCATGTTGGCCAGTGAGATGACTCGGACTAGTCGTCAACGTCAAACACACAAAATGCCGTGGTTTCCCCAAAGGTCTGAATAACACCGTGCTCTCTCCGTGAACTTTACTTCAGAGAGGTTTTCCTTTTCCATTAACAAGCGCAAGACGATGGTAAATTCGAGATAATCGCAGTGCAAATAACAAGACACTGCGGACGCTGATGAAGCCGGCTTGAGCTCCAGTGAGATTTCCGGAGCGAAAGCCCAGGGACAGGACCCAGGTCGCCATCGCCGTTGCTGTGGCCGCTACTGTCCTTTCTGGCGCCTTCCTTCATGCGCGTGCCCTCTGTATTCCCTCCTCACACCATGTTTATGTGGAAACTTCGGCCGATGGCCCCACTGGTTCTTTACGGAGCAACTCCACCTTCGGTTCCGATTAGGGTCCGGAAGTGGAGCAGTTGCTCCGTGCGCCGTCTCTTCCGCCGTGGACTTGCCGCCGACGGCTTGCGCTGCTCCTCCTTCGGACAATCGCCCTGTGCACAACAACCCAACAAACACTGCGATAATGTAGTACGAAAGCAGAACTCACATATAAGCATCCCAAACCAATGAGACCACTCAAAACACAGTGGTCCACGCCACCTCTCCCTACCCCAAGCCGTCAACTTCACACCCAAAGCCTGACAAGAACAACCCAGTCCCGCCGCCGCTACATTAGCTAGCCTAGGCACCCCCAGAGTGGCTCTGATTCTAAAACCTCCTTGAGCCTTCACGGGCATTGTCGGCCCCTGCATAACAGCCCTGATTGTCGTACTCATCGTCGGCGTTGCCGTCAACATTGTCACATCTAACCTCGGCAACACGGCCAGCACCTTCCTGTCCCATCGACCTTCACCTGGACTTTTGAGGTTTCCCAATGACTGCTTCTATGGCTTCAAATGCAAATTCCATTGCTTGAAATTAGCGGTAGTGGCGACGTCGACACTGACATCCATGCAGCAGAAGCCTTGGCGCCTTGGCCTGAGATTTAAGCCTCCGCTAACCCACTGGAGTAGCACAGCAGCAGACTCCGTCCTACAACGGAGCAGCGACGAGTTTCCTTGTGACTGGGTATAGCCTAGCTCTAGCGGGAGCTTGACATATCTCTAGCGTAAGACGTTGTCTGGGAAGAAGGCGGAATGCTGGGTCGGATGGTTGCGGTAGGTATTCCTAGGAAGGGCCTGGATTAGGGAAGCGTGTGCGTATTTGAGGGGCTTTATTCTAGAAGCGAAGCACAAATATCATTCAATCTACTGCTTCGCGCATATATTACAGATGCATCTGGGACGCCAGCAGCTGTAGCCTTCTTATCAGCCATCGATGTTCGGTCATTCTTTTTCAACAAGATCTTGACGGCGGGGGCTTAGGTTGCTGCCTGGGATCGTGAGAGCGGGATGTTGGCGGTGATTAGAACGGCGTGACAAGGTTCGTGGAACAAGGTGCAGTGTTGGGCGTTTGAGCCATAGTTCGTGCGATTGGAGTCAGAAGGAGAGCCACTGCGCAAGAGAATTCGGTCGATCAAAAAGACGCTTGTCTAGCACTGTTCGGACCTCTGACTGTAGCAGCTGTGATGCCTTCGTCGTTAATATTAACGCCATGAACTCTGCCGCCGTATGTCCACGAGGTCTTCGCCATGCTGTGTTTTCGTACCATACACGCGATCCCACATTCCCCCCTATTCATCATCAACGAACTCAATTCCGCTCTCGGCAGCAATAACAAAAATTACAGCAACAACCCCGCCAACTTTGCTATTCAGGTTGGCAAGCTCTGCATCCACGAGTTCTTTGTCTCTGCATTTCGCTAGAACAGGCTCCGAATCGCGTGTTGTCCGTCGTTGCTCCCCGCCCGCTCTCCTTCCCCGTCCTCTGCCTGGCTTGGTTGTTTAATGCTACGGCTTTGTCCGCCTTATGCCCTCAACATCTGCCACCTTTGGCTCACCCTTGAACCTTTTACTTCTCAAGCACCATTTCGGTCTCATTAATGCTGCTTCCGCACCATTTTATCCCCCTTTCTCAGCTGTCATTGTCGCTATCGTCTTCCCACCTTCATCCCGCGATATCAAGAGTGCCCCGACCGGACAGCACCACACCCTCACATCTCGCGTGCACATAGCTCCCGCCGCTGTTAAACATAACCTCCTTGATAAGCTGCTACTCGTCGCTCTGACTTACTACTGTTGACGGGCCCTGCCACTCCGCTGCTACTGCTGTGGACTGTTAGCGAGTGCTAGAGGCTGCTATACAGCCCTCTCCAGCGCCCTAGCGCCAGTAGTTAGTTCTCTCTATTATATATCATAGTTTCCTATGTTTATTAGGTTATGAGCTTAGCCTTATTAAATTAACCTTAAAAACGTCGATTTTGAGGTCCTTTTAATTATACTAACTACTTGATAATCCCCTTATTTCGTTTACGTCGTTTTTCTTATTCTTTTTATATGTAGATTAGTAGATTTTATTACTAACTACTTTATCTATTTACTTTTTTAACCCTTAACGCGCCCTAATATGCTATAGTAGAGATTT